GGTTGGGAAAGAATCACTGAATTAAGGTGGGAAAAGAACCTGAACCAAGTTCAGAAAAGAATCACCAAATTAAGGTTGGAAAAGAACGACCGAATTGAGGCGGGAGAAGAAAAACCAAATTAAGGTCGGAAAAGAATTCCGGAATCAAGGTTGGAAAGGAACAACCAAATCAAGGTTGGAAAAGACCTCCAGGAGCAGGAAACCCAAGGAAGGTTCACCCACGAGCTCTGCCAGGAATGAATTCACCAAAGAATCCACGGGGCCGCGAAACGCGCGCGGCACCGACCATTCCCAACGCGGATTTTCCATTTCTGGAAAGGTTCTTCCCCCTCCTGGAAATGAAAAATCAGCCCAGGGGGGAGCAGAGCCCAGCCCAGGGGAGCAGAGCCCAGCCCAGGGGGGAGCAGAGCCCAGCCCAGGCTGTGTGTGGGGGCACAGGGGGGGCTGGCAGGCTCTCCCTGCCGGGCTGGTCACGAGTGCCCAGAGGAATTTTATGTACAGGGAAAAGGAGCCTCCCCCAGCCCCCCACAGCACCAGGGCTGGGCTGGCTGCTGGGAAAAAATAAAATTAAAAAAAAAAAAATCACAGTTTTGGATGCACCGAGGGTTTATTCCTGTTCTTCCCCATTGTATTGGCAAATGCAACAGTCTAGCTTGGGAGCTGGGGGTTCATCTGTCATGGAGATAAAAAACACGGAGGGAGGGGGAGATGAGCAGGGAGGGTGGGACACCTGTGGACACCAGGTGTCACCCCTGGAGACTCCAGGCAGCTTCACCAGCACTGAAATCAAACTGAGCAGTAACAGCAACTAACACCACTCTCTCCTTGATTTTTTTTGTTTTTTTTTTTTTTTGCTAAGGGATGGTTTTCCCTCTCTGCTGCCAGCCCTGGAAGGGAGCCCCCCACACAGGGCTGTTCCCTTGGCAATAAAAGCAGATTCTCTGTCCTGGGAACTCTTGGGATCCGCTCCTCTCTTTCCTCTGGGTTTGCTTCCACATCAGCCCCATGCCACAAAAACTGGGATTTTAAGGAGTGAGAAGGGAGGAATCCTCTGGGGCAGCTCCCAGGGGATGGGAAAGGAGGAGCTGCTGGAATCCCTGCATGTCCCAGGCTCGGGAGGAGCTCATCCTGTCCCACACAGCATTCCCAGCCCCTTCCCTCTCCCCAGGGATAAATCCTGCATTTCTCCCAGCTGGAGGCTCCCTAACTGTGCCAGTTGCATCCAAGGTGTGTTAGGTTGAAATTAAGGCCATTTGCAAGCTCTGCTTACAAAGTCTAAGAAACAAAAGAGCTCTTATTTACACAGGAGTTAAAAATCCTGGAAGGAGCCAGAGCCACGCCCCGAGCCTCCCGTGAGGAATCTCAGAATTCCAGAATCTCAATATTCCAGAATTTCAGAATTCCAGAATCTCAGAATTCCAGAATCTGAGAGTCCAGATTTTCAGAATTTCAGAATTCCAGAATCTCAGAATTCCTGAATTCCAGAATCTCAGCATTTCAGAATCTCAGAATTCCAGAATCTCAGAATTCCAGAATCTGAGTCCAGATTTTCAGGTTTTCAGAATCTCAGAATTCCTGAATTCCAGAATCTCAGAATTTCAGAATTCCTGAATTCCAGAATCTCAGCATTTCAGAATCTCAGAATTCCAGAATCTCAGAGTCCAGATTTTCCGAATTTCAGAATTCCAGAATCTCAGTCTCAGAATTCCAGAATCTCAGATTTTCAGAATCTCAGAATTCCAGAATCTCAGAATTCCAGATTTTCAGAATTCCAGAATCTCAGAGTCTCAGATTTTCAGAATTACAGAATCTGAGATTTTCAGAATTACAGAATCTCAGAATTCCAGAATCTCAGATTTTCAGAATTCCAGAATCTCAGAATTCCAGAATCTCAGATTTTCAGAATTCCAGAATCTCAGATTTTCAGAATCTCAGCCCGTGCTCAGCTGCCCCACTCTGGGGTGACTCTGGTGTTGAGGCCACCCCGGGGCACGGATCCATCCCAGGGAATTCCCACACGGAGCTCCAGGAGCTGTGCCAGGAGTTTCAGGCTCTCCCAGGACCCCGGGCCCAGTTCCCTCCAGTTCCTCCCAGTTCCTCCCAGTTCCCTCCTGGCCGAGCTCCCCCTGGCACTGGAGAAGCACGAGGGACCTGACACAAGCAGCCACCAGGAGGGAACCTGTCCTACCGAGCTCCAACCCTGCCAAAAAAAATCCCAAAACATTCCCAAGAGATGCGGGGAAACCTCTGGTGGGTGTGGAGAAGGATAAAATAAAATTAAAAAAAAAAATTAAAAATTTTTTGAAAAAAAATAAAAAAAGACACAGGGAAGCCAAGAAAAAATTCCACATTTTTAGTGCAAATGGTCAACAAATGGCACAGAGGGTGAGGGGAGCTGCGGGCCTGGGAGGTCCCAGGGATTTCTGGAAGCACACAGAAACTTGGTATAACTCATTAGAGAAGCCAGGACAGCGCTGACGGGCCGTTAATTGCAGGGCCGTTAATTGTTCCCAAACAGGAGCAGCTCTGGGGTTGGGATTTCCTCGGGAGGGAAAAAAAAATCAAATCCAGGACGGGGTGGAGGGTGACCAAACCCAACTGGTGTGAACTGGGCGTGAAATGGGATTTGAGGGAATGGAATCCATGCGGATCCAGGCCTCCCTCTGCAGGGGTTAATTAGTTAATTAGCTAATTAGTTAATTAGGCTCCAAAGGCTGCTAATTCCCGCTGAATTCCGGGGGAATGAGGATGTTCCAGCAGAGCCCTTTAAATCCATTCATTCCCACTGATCTGGGAACCAGCTCGGATCCAGGCAGGGGGAAATCCCCAATTCCCAGCCTGAGGAATCTGGACGGGATTTTTTTTTTTAATTTGCAGCACAGAATATTTACAAGGACCACCAGAAATAATCAATCAATTCTCCATTTAATTACACAGAATTTTGGAGGATTCAATCCTGGTCATTGTGGAGCAAGAGATTTTTTTTTTTTTTCCCTCGAGTGAATGAAGGAATTTTTAAGTTCCAACCACCCTATTTTGCCTATTGCAAAGGGAAATATCTAAACTTGCCTTAGGCTTCCTTATTCCTGCTTAACATCTGTTTAAAATTCCAGTTAGTTTAAAAATACCTACATATATAATATATATAATATATTTCTGGAATAAAAACAAAAAAAAAGAACTGTACAAATATTATGTAGAGTGCTTCATTGGCTGTATGTAGTTGAGCTACTTTCCTAATATCCAAATATTTAAATAAAAAAAAAAAGACAACAACGATGACCAAAAAAAAATCATAAATAAGTAACAAGAATAAGTAATGAATAAGAATAAAAAATTAAAAAATCATGATTCTATGAGCCTGGCATTGCTATGGAAATGCCCTTCCTGTTGCCCAGGAATCTCTCACGAAGTAAAAATTAGGATTATGCAGGTTAGTCTCTATTATTTTTTAGCTGCTTTAAGATGTTCTGATCCTCTGTCTAATCAAGTAATGAATTATAGAACTTTCATGTGTGCTCAGAAATGCTCTCTATATATGTAGCCATATATAGAAATAGATATATATATATATTACATATATTTTTTAAAAAAACAAACAAAACTAAAAAAAAAAAACCCCAACAAAACAAAACATAAAAAGCTTGGAAAAAATAGTGTTTAAAGTGGATTTTTGGGCTTGGTGGCCGGGATTGCTGGGCCAGGAGGGAGGGACAAGAGGGAGGGGACAGAGCTGGGGCCAGGCACAGCACCTGGGGGGTGTCAGGGTCACACAGGGTGACCTGGGGGGTGTCAGGGTCACACAGGGTGACCTGGGGGGTGCCGGGGTCACACAGGGTGACCTGGGGGGTGCCAATGTCACACAGGGTGACCTGGGGGGTGCCGGGGTCACACAGGGTGACCTGGGGGGTGCCAGGGTCACAGGGTGACCTGGAGGGTGTCAGGGTCACAGAGCAGCCAGGGGGGCAGGGCAGGATTCGCCTCCCGATCCAGGAGAGGCGGGGAGGGGGCTCAGCTCCCGCAGCCCGGGCGGTTTCGGTGCCTGCGGCCCCTCCTGCCCTTCCTGAGCCGAACACAGCCCTGCCCTGGGGCAGAGACAACGACTGCGGGGACAGCGGGGTCTGGAACGGGAAAAGGCCGATGGAAAACCGGGACAGACCGGGAAAAACCGGGACAGACCAAACCAGGACAGACCGGGACAAACCGAGACAGACCGGGAAAAACCGGGACAGACCAAACCGGGACAGACCGGGAAAAACCGGGACAAATTGGGACAGACCAAACCGGGACAGACCGGGACAAATTGGGACAGACCAAACCGGGAAAAACCGGGACAGATCAAACCGGGACAGATCAGACCGGGACAGATCAGACCGGGACAGATCAGACCGGGACAGACCGGGACAGACCGGGACAGACTCCTCGTGCTGGACGGAAGGAGCGGCTCGGGGGTGCCGGGGCTCGGCAGCGCAGCAAGCTCAGAACAAGCAGCTGGGGGGACTCATTGTACAGGGGGACACGGAGCAGCTGCTCCCCCCAGCCTGGGGGGCGTCCCCCGGGGGGGGGTGGATCCCTCAGGATGGGGTGGGATGGATCTCCCAGAATGATGGGGTGGATCCCCCAGGATTGGGTGGATCCCTCAGGATGATGAGGTGGATCCCCCAAGACTGAATGGATCCCCCAGGATGGGATGGATCCCCCGGCACGGGGTGGATCCCCCCGCAGTGGGTGTGTCCCCCCGCAGTGGGTGTGTCCCCCGCAGTGG